AAGCTTTATCCAGAGACAATATAATAGTTGGAATACAGAGAAATGTATAAACTACATATCCTTCAGGTCATCCTCAAACAGTATTTTTGCATCATCCTCAAATAGTATTTTTTGCATCATATCTCTTGATAAAATTGGACAACAAACAGTTTGAGATTATAATCTCAGGTAAAAGTTTGGAGCCACATTTGCTCATTAAACCCTAATTAGGGTGGAGTCCTTCTGGTAGTTTAACTGGTATATCCCAAAGATAAGCCAATCTACCAACTGCCTCCACCATTTCATTGTACTAAGGACAAAGCCCCACCCATGGGTCAATGCAGCAACTCAGGATAGGGTAAGTGGAAGAAGAAAACGGGAGATGTCCACCAAGAAGAAGCACAATCATTTACATAATTTCCAGAAGCTCCCAGACCAACTATCAATATTAAGTGATATTTTCAAATCTGTTTTCTTGTATGATTCTAAAGGCCACTTAGAATTTTTTTCAAGGAAAAGAACACATTTTTAAGGCCAAAACTGCAGTTGCTGAACTAAAACTAATGATGATAAAGTTCTGAATAGTGGCATAGACAATGCTAAAAACTGGATTAGTAAATTAGAAAGCAAACATATGGGGGAGAAATGTCAAAGAGATGAAATTGTGAAGAAAAACAGACAAGAGACATGGAAATATGTATTTTTCTAAGCTCTGTAATAGCAGGTTGTAGCAGACTAGCTAGGTATTCACCAAATGCATTTCCTCTTTCTCCTGGTCACACAGATAGACTATATTTCTAATCCTCGCTTGCAGTGCATGAGCTTCTGCTGATGTAATGTTGGCAGCAGTCATATGTATCACTTACAAGCCTGGTCAATTAAAAAAAAAAATCTCCAGGCATTATTTACTTTTTTCTCTACTGCTGTAACATTGAAAGCCACATGTTGAAGTGATAGAGCCACAAGTTGGAAGAGTCCTGGATCCCTTCACAGTCACTTAAAGAAGAGCTACCCAACCAGGAACATCCATTTTGGACGTCACATGAGCGAAAAATAAAATTTCTACGGTGAGATTTTAGAGCTTAGCTATTACAACAGGCATCATTATTTAAAGAAACAGGCACTGGCATTGGAAGAATGGTGTTGCCATAACAAAAAAACTTAAAATAAATGACATCAGTTTAGAGGTCAGGCAGTAGGCCACAAGAATATATATTTAGCAAGTCAAAGGCCTGAAAAGCCCTGTGATATTGTGGCAAAACAACTGGCAAAACTGGAACCTGTAATAAATGAAAAGGCACACTGCGTGTCTGTTGGGTCTGTAGCTCTATATGTGAATGTAGAGAGAGAGTTATAGTGTATATTGGCATTTGCTTTCTGCTTTTAGCACGGTTTTACACAAAAACAATGAGCACAGAATTTCCTACTTTGAAAACTGAAATTACAGGGAATAGCACAAGGCCAGAAACTTGGGCCTCAGAGGGTTAGAAAGATGAACACATATAGATCCCAAATAGTAAAAGAAAAAGATGGTAAATTTTGAGCAATTAAGTCCAAAGAAGACCTCCTTGAACAAAGTGGCTTAATCCTGAGGCAAAAATTAGATTCAGGTATGGTTTTCTTACCCGTTATTTCATATAGCCTCCAAGTAGGGCCTAAGTAAGAAAGAGACATGAGGCAAGGGTTATGCTCCCCCAACTCTACTACCTCCCCAAACAGGGAAGAAGAAAAAAAATCATTCCTGAAAATTATATTTAGAAAAGAACAGTGGGTATGGTATCTAAATAGAACCTATTGGAAAGAGACAGATCAGAGGTCTACTAAGTTTTGAGTTAACATTAATGTCAAAACCCCACAAATCTGGACTAAATAAAACTTTGTTCAGAACCTTAAAACAACCCTTGGGCTCCTAAACTTGTAGAAGCAGAAAGTAAGCGCTGAAAGATAGAGATATAAATGTGGTTGTAGATATAAGTGTAAATGTAGATGTATGTGTATATCTACAGAGAGAGAGAGAGAGAAAAATCTTCAAATGAAGGTATATTCCCCAGCACACACTTCAGAAATGTACACAGAAAAAAATAGGGAAAGAAAAATTAAGATGCAGCCAAGAGCCCAGGAGAACAATGGGCAAAGGAGTTCTTTCCACAGAATCAACATCTAGACAAGGAAGTTCCCCTACTTCTAAGGCAGAAAGATTTCCCAATGATGGCCCAAAAGGATTACATGATTTGCTATGAAGCAGGTAATACTGTACATCTCCTGTTCTTCCCTTTTCTAAGTGGAAGTTTTTGTTGTAGCTATTCTGTTCTAGCTTCTCCATGGTATACTGAGGGTGGGAGGGCCACAGGTGCAGATAACCTATCTTAGTTCCTGGTCATCAGCCCACTGAAGAGCCACATCTGGATCTGATGGAGAGTACTGAACATCCCTGGAAGATATCATACTTTGAGATGGATGTAGTAACTAGATGGGATATTGGGTTGTATTCCTTAGGGAAGGGACAAGTATGTTCTATGGATGAGAGGAAGAGTGAACAGATATGGAATTCCCTGATGGCGCAGTGGTTAAGAATCCCCCTGCCACTGCAGGGGACACGGGTTCGAGCCCTGGTCCGGGAAGATCCCACATGCAGTGGAGCAACTAAGCCCGTGTGCCACAACTATTGAGCCTATGAGCCACAACTACTGAGCCTGTACACCTAGAGCCCACGCTCTACAACAAGAGAAGCCACCACAACGAGAAGCCCACACACCGCAACGAAGAGTAGCCCCCACTTGCCACAACTAGAGAAAGCTCACGCGCAGCAACGAAGACCCAACACAGCCATAAATAAATACATTTATTTAAAAGAAAAAAAGGAGTGAAGAAATACTTGATGACCAAAAGGGTAGAACTGTGCCAGAGGCTAGCTACTATGCACCAAAACTGTGTTCTTCTCTTAGACAGAGTGAGATTATATTCCCCAGCATCCCTTACAGGTTGCTATGGCCATGTTATTAAGTTCTGGCCAGTGAAATCAGAGAAGAAGTGATGATGTGTCACATCCATGCCTAGCCCTTAAAAACCCTACCACATGCAATACTCTTTGGTCTTTCCCCTTTTGCAGCAATCTTCAAAACCATATTAAAAATGACAGACCCATATAATGGAAACTTTCCTTAAATCACCATTGCAAAGAAAACCATCACAAATCAGAAACATCATTTTGGGCTTGACATAAGTGAGAAATAAACCAGATCCTCTCCCTCTTTTCTAACATCCATGAATTCAAACAAATATTTACTGAACACCTACTATGTACAAAGTATATGGTAGTTTCTCTCCCTCCTACTTTCCTTACTTTTTAGGTACTACAAGATTTTAAAATGTGTAAGATATCTTTATTCAATGATCTTATATATACCATAGCATAGGATAGTAATACATGCAATAAGAGCTATACTTGAGATGAAAAATGCTATAGGAGGAATAAAGGGTTATCAGTTAATTAAAAAGTCCTGAATTCACGAAAGGTTTCTTCACCATTTCTTTAAATGACAAAAATACAGCCAACAGCTAACAGTTTACACATTTTGAGTGCCATAGCAGACAAATTCATCTCAGTCTAATCTGAATTCTACTACAGAATCTGACCTTTACAAGCTGTCTGAACTTGAGCAAATCACTTCCCTGGCCTAGGCCTTAATTTCTTCAGATAATTAGGGGAGAGACCAGATATCTCACATTAAATGAAATAACAATATTCTTCATGGAATCCTCTCTTTCACCAAAAAGGAAGTAATTTCTCAAGCAAAGGCCTAGGAAAAGCAACTTTGTACTATACTCTTGTATATTTTGAAAAATTAGTAAAAATTTGTCAACCACAATAAAGACTTGTCTTACAAGATACCTTCATTCCTGTACAAAGTGTATTTTCAATGATTAATTTTGTTTCTTCACCACTAAAAAAAATGACATGATATGATTATTTCCATCAGGGTTTATCATCAACTAGTTTTAAGCTTTCCACTTTGTAAAGTATAACAATAAGGAAATTAAAAGAAGAATTGGGAAAAGAATATGTGTATTCCCTTAGGAAAGGGATTTCCAAAGAGGCAGATCTCTTTTGCAGAATCAAAGACATATCTAAAAGATTACCAAGGCTAGCTGAGACCCAAAATATGACCTACTCCCTCATTCCTCACAGAATTAAGAACTACAAATGACTTATTCAAGAACACAGTTGTTTATAGAACCAAAAAACACTTTCCATAAACAGCTGGATCTTCTACTTATTGTTATAGGTTACATCATAAGGTATACTGAGAAATTTTAATAAAAGCAGTGTGACTTAAATTTCAAAAGAGCAAGTAATACTGCAAATTATTACTGTTCTTTATTCATAACGACAAAGTACTTCTGGACGTTCCTTGTGGCTTTCATAACTTAGAGATGAAGATATTGAAAGAAAAAAATCAAAACACTTTCAACACATTGTTAATTTATAAGCTATAAACAAATTCCTTTCTGTGATCATAATTCCCAGCATTTCCCAAAAGGCCTTTTTTCATTGATACCCATTGATATCAGAAATAACAGTTATAGAAATATTCATATATAACATGACATCTTGCTTACATAGTAAATAATCAACCAAAGGTACCTGCAGCACAATTTAGCTCATTAACTAGAAAGAGAACTTTTAAAAATCTTGGGGGGAAAAAAAATCTTGGGCTTCAAATCATACCCAAAGTCAAGAAAAGTATTCAAAACATAGAAAAGCCTCTTCAAAGCACCAATATAAACCATCACAATCAATCAGTATGTACTGAATATTCACAGAGCAAAACAATATACTAGTAAATAATTCACTGCTCTGCTAAGAAAATAAAAGATATTTTAAAATCATGTGTTCCCATAAAGATGAAGGACTTCCCTAAAATGACAAGAAACAATTAAGACATTTAGCAAAAAGAAATCTGTGTTTAACAGAATACTTGCAAAGTCATTGGCCAACCTATCATAAACCCAAGACCTACTTGCTTCATGGCAGTCTCTCCAATTTTGTCTGAATGTTTGCGGATACTCTCCAGAAAGTCTTTGAGATCAGACATAGAAACATCCTTAATTTCTTCTCGAAGCTTGGGGATATTGTCCACCATCACCTTGCAGAATCGATAATGGCTTACTTGAGGCAGATAGGTATGCTCTAGATGTTCCAGAGTTTTCAGTGCAGGATAATGCCTATAAAAGGAATTGTATCACCTTTAGCTCAACCAGTCTTCTTTAGGGCCACAGATATATTCCTCAGGCAAAATTTCTAGCCCGAATTAGTTTTCACTGTACATTAAGACAAATCCAGGATTAAGTTTCCAAAAACACATGAATGGAAAAATTAATGTCAAATTATTAAAAATCAATATATATATTACAGGACTTAATAAATTATAATCAAAAAAAGATTTTTCCCAAGAATACAGAAAACTTTGAAAATCCACCAATGAAACTCATTACATAAAGAATAAAGGCCATTGCTAGGAAAAAATAAATAAAGGGAAATATAAAATGATCATATCAATGCCACAAAAATCATCCCATAAAATAAAGTACCCAAGGATAGACTTCCAACTATGGCACACAGAAGAGCTTAGCAAATCTTCTACCCAAAAAGCAAATATAAACTAGACAAAACTGTCCCAAACAACCATTTCAAGACTCCGGAAATTGGAAAGGACTCTGCAGAGGAGAACAACAAATTGAGAAGGGTTTATTCATGAAAACTGCTAAATAGAGAGGGACTTTGTGGCATTCTTGCCTGGGGCTACCTCCATCACCCTCTCCACCTCCCCTCACCCCATCACTGGTTATGGCTTGTCAGGAAAATCAGCAGCTTCTCTTCAGTTAGGGGCTGACATGATTTGGAGCAGAGGGTGAAAATCTAATATGGAGTGGTGTTGTTAGGAAAAAGTAGCAAGCTCATTTTAAAAAAGGAAGAGAGCGGGGGGAACCTCCAGCTCTACGGCCTGAAGTTCGTCTAGGTTGGAACAAAGAGCAGACTGGAGGACTAACCAAAAACTTAACAGGGAAGTCCTGGAAATAAGAGACCCACAGAATAACCTGATAGCTCTCTGAATACCCCTAGCTGACTGAGAAGCTGTACACAAATGCAGGGGACACCTAAAAGGGCCTAAGCACTCCACACATCCTTAGCTGACTAGGAGACTGCAGGCCTGCACATAGGAGAAGGCTTGGCAGAATATAAAAGCTCAGCAGACTTGAAAACTTGCCTGAATTTTGAATGCACTCCCTAACCCACATACAAGTCCACTAACAAAGGGTAGACACCTTTCTCAGCTCAAGTTTCTTTGAGCACCCAGGACCAACCATTAGCTGATGACTAGCCTTTAAAAATGAAAATGAATTATATTCCCAGATAAACAAAGACTAATAGAATTCCTTGCTAGCAGATCTGCCTTACAAGAAATACTAAAGAAAGCCAGAAAGGAAATGATAGCAGATAGTAACTTGAATTCAGAGGAAAAAAAATGAAGAACATAGGAAAGAGTAAATATATGCTAAATATAAAAGACTGAATAAATGTGGGGTTTCTTCTCTTTTCTTCTTTTACTATCAGTAAAAGACAATAGTTTTTAAAGCAATGATTATAACACTGTATTGTTGGGTTTATAAATATAGATATAATATAAATGACAATAATAGCACAAAAGAAGAGGGAAGAAATGGAGCTAAGTTGAAGCAAAACTACTTCTATATATTATATCAAAACTACACAAGCAATGACCTAAAGTAGACTGTGACAAACGAAGAAGATTATAATCCACAGAGTAACCTCTAAAAAAAAAAAAAACCTCAAAAAATACAACATTAAAAGGTTTACGGAAGAATTAAAGTAGTATACTACAAAATATTTAATACAAAAAAGAAGTAAAAGATAAATAAGAACAAAAAAGACATGAAAAACATAGAAAGTAAAGAGCAAAACCCAACCATATTAATAATTATATTAAATGCAAATGGGCTAATAAGCACGCAAATCAAAAGGCAGACACTGGGGCTTCCCTGGTGGCGCAGTGGTTGAGAGTCCACCTGCCGATGCAGGGGACACGGGTTCGTGCCCCGGTCCGGGAAGATCCCACATGCCGCAGAGCGGCTGGGCCCGTGAGCCATGGCCGCTGGGCCTGCGCGTCCGGAGCCTGTGCTCCGCAACGGAAGAGGCCAAAACAGTGAGAGGCCCATGTACCACAAAAAAATTAAAAATACATGTTCAAAAGGCAGACACTGTCAGACAGGATTTAAAAAGCATGATCCAGGGACTTCCCTGGCGTTCCAGCGGTTAAGGCTCCATGCTTCCACCGCAGGGGGCATGGGTTCAATCCCTGGTTGGGGAACTAAGATCCCGCATGCCGCACAGTGCGGCTAAAATAAAATAAAAAATAGGGCTTCCCTGGTGGCGCAGTGGTTGAGAATCTGCCTGCTAATGCAGGGGACACGGGTTCGAACCCTGGTCTGGGAGGATCCCACATGCCGCGGAGCAACTAGGCCCGTGAGCCACAACTACTGAGCCTGTGAGTCTGGAGCCTGTGCTCCGCAACAAGAGAGGCCGCGACAGTGAGAGGCCCGCGCACCGCGATGAAGCGTGGCCCCCGCTTGCCAGAACTAGAGAAAGCCCTCGCACAGAAACGAAGACCCAACACAGCAAAAATAAATTAATTAATTAATAAACTCCTATCCCCAAC